AGCAGTGATTTCCCCGCTCTACTCAGCACTGGTGAGACCGCAGCTGGATTCTGCGTCCGGTCTGGGCGCCGCACTTCAACAAGGACGTGGTAAAGCTTGAGAGAGTCCAAATAGCCACTCGTATGATCAGAGGCTGGCACAGCAAGTCATACGAGGAAAGGCTGGACATCTTCAAGAGGAGACTGGACAGTCACCTTGCTGGGGTCACTTGACCATGGGTGACTGGTGCCTCCCAAGTCGGGGGGGGGCCCAGATCGCCAATGGGGGACAGAGGTCCCCCAGCAGCCAATCGCCGAGCCAGCAGTGAAACCGGAAGTGCACTTCTGGTTTTGGGGCTGGCACTTCCAGGGGCTGCACGTCCGTGTGCACACCTTCCACGCCGCCAGTGACCCCACTTGTCTTTCCTGTCTAGTGCAGGGGGCTGGACCCGATGATCTTCCAAGGTCCCTTCCAGCCCCTACAACCTGTGACTCTACGAATTAACAAAAAAAATCAGAATCCAAAACACACTTTTCCCAACACAGCTGGCTGGGAGTCAAGCAAGCAGGAGCCTGTGCAATACAACCCAGCTGTTCAGATCTCACCCGAAAGGACACGCATTGGTTAATTAGAGTGTTTTGACCATGCAGACCCAAAACCCAGGGTTGCTCACAGACAGATGACAAGAAGCCCCTGGGAAATGACACTGTGACCAATAGGAAAGTGGCAGAAAGCTTGATTTATTCACTCTGAGACAGGGCTTATTTTGTACGTGGTTTATTCTGAGCCTTAAAATGAAGCTTGTTCTGATTCTTAAAGGTGTTAAAGTAAAAAGGGATGATGTGAGACTGGGTAGCTGAGAGGGAAGGGAAGTGCCGGAAGCAGACAAAGCCACCCGCTCGCCAGGGGACAAGGAGCAACGGCCCTAGACTGCCAGAGCCTGGTTTCGGGCCGGACGTAAGGAAAAATGGCTTTCGTAGTCTGGAGTCGAGTCCCAGGGAGGCGGTGCCGTCCCCGAGTCCTCCAGAGGGGTGGCGCAGCCCAGAGCAGGGGGCAAGTCCCGTCACTCCTGTGCAGGCAGCAGCACAGAAGAGCTGGTGGCAGACAAGGGGCAGAGTGCAGGTGGCTGAGGCTGAAGCTGGTTCACAGCCCATTTCCTGGAAGGACTCCACCCCGCTTGCATTTCGCTCCAAACGGACGCGCCGCGGCCTCCGAGGACGACTCAGGTCCCGGCCCTGCCCGCAGCGCCGAGCACAGCCCCGAGCGGACTGCAACTCAGAGCAGGGCTGGGCGCCCAGGCCCCGCCCACTCCGGGGCGTGGCCTCGCGCCGGCAGCAGCCGCGGCCG